CCCCCCCGGTTATGAGCACCTGGTCTGGACCTGTCCCCAGCACCCAGTCTGGAGCCTGGCACCAAAGTGTGAGAGGCCCAGCCATGGTGCAGTGGTAACACAAGGGCCCTGCTAGACTGGAGGCCATATGGCAACCACAGGTGTAGATCCCTGAGTCGGCCTGCAAATGTCGGGACACCCTGGATTCTGAGGAGTTGGAGGGTGGGGAAAGGGGACCACAGTGTGACAAAACCCTGTCCAAGGTTCTTCTCTATCTCTCCTCTCTCCCGCAGACACACACTATGGGGAGGGAAAGGCCACAGTTGTGAGGAATGTTTGTTGAGTGACTGATGACTGAATGACAGAAGGAGAATCAGGGCCTGTGAGCAGGCAGTTTTCAGCACAGGAAAGGGAACGACTTCCAACTGGCCTGATTGTCCCAAAGTGGAAAAGTGGAATGGGCAGCTTCAAAACAGAGTAAATATCTCAGATTAGGAACAGACCAAGTTGGAGCCTCAAGGCAGACTGGCCAGGAATGAGGGAATTGCAGTAAGAGCAGGGCTTCTAGGGCTGTAAACAGTGCGTATAGTTTTAGTTTGCCTCGGGATCTTTTAAAAATGTAGATTCTGGTCCAGAGTCTACATCTCTTTTTCTTTCATTTTTTCTTTATTTTTAAAAAAGAATTATTTTATTATTTTACTGATTTTATTTTTTATATTTTTTATTATTTTTTTTTACCAGAGAGAGACAAAAATTGAGAGAAGAAAAGCAAGAAAGTAAGCCATCAGGTCCAGGACTTGAACCATGGTTGGCCATGTAAGAGTCCAGTGCCTTAACCTCCACACCACCTGCTGCCCCCCTTTTTCTTTTTTAAAGAGATTTTTGCTATAGGGCGTGTGCGTTCACCAGAAAGACAGAGATAGAAAGCAAGAAATCCCCCCCCAGGGGGATGGCCCTGCGGCAATCCCTCCTCCTCCATTCTCCTCAGGATCTTGCCTGGCATGAGTACATGGAGTTCAGCGACATATATGTCATCTGCTTGTTCCAAGTCTACATTTCTTTTTTTTTTGGAGAGGTTTTTGCTATAGGGCGTGTGCGTTCACCAGAAAGACAGAGATAGAAAGCAAGAAATCATCCCCTAGGGGGGATGGCCACATCGCAATCCCTTCTCCTCCATTCTCCTCTTGGGCATGTATATACACATGCCCAGCGTGAGTTTAAGCCATGGGGTCCGGGACTTGACCTGCAGTCGGCTACATGGGAGTTCAGTGACACAGCCATTACGCTAACTGCTGGTCCCCCAAGTCTACATTTCTAACAAGCTCTCAGATGATGTAGATGCTGCTGGTCTGCAGACCAGGCTCCAGGTGACCACTGGTGCCTTCTCTGAAAAAGCCAGCTGCCCGCCTCACTGCCCAGCTGGAGGGAGTTGGGAGCTGGGCAGTCAGGGTTCAGACAGGTTTAGCTGTAGGACTAAGGGCTCCCAGTCACTCACCACTTGCTCGTCCAGCGTGAGCAGCGTGCGTGGCACCTTGGGGGAAGCCGAGCCCAGGCGCAAGCATGTTGGGCTCAGCCGCGGTGCCACATGCTCCAGAAGCTTCCTTGGGGACAGGCCCCGCGGGGGGCCGGGCGGCAGGACATCTTCTGAGATGGTGCCGCGGAGAGTCCGGAGCTGAGGAGGGGTGTAAAGGCATTCAGGATCTAATACCGGATGTGGGAGAGGCAACCCACCTCCAGAGCCCACGATCTCAACCTACCTGTGTGGTCCGCACGATGATTCGGTAGCTATGCAGGGTGCCCCCTCCGCTGCTCTCCTTCTCCTCCCGCCGCAGGCTCACAGCAACCGGGCCCAGCACCTCATCCAACCCGAAGAAGTTCTGATGTTCTGGGAGGTGGTGTCAGGCAATGAATGGTACGCCCTACCTCCCAGCAGCCCCACCCCCGACCAACCTCACTTATCCCTAAGCCACGCCCAGACCCCATTTTACCAACGGTAAGTTCTGGACTAAGTCCACCCCCTCTTCAGCACCGCCCACTTCTCACCTCACCCTGAGCCAGGAAGCCAATACTAAGGCTCTCAGTCTAGACCCTGCCCTGGCCCCACCCACCACGCCCGTAAGTTCCCTGCCCTGGCCTGAGCCCCCTTCACAGCTTCAGTGAGAAGGTTCTAGGGTTCAGGGCTTTCAGGCCCGAGTTTTCACCTCGCAGAAATGTAGATATGAAATCTGTCCCCTGCCGGGAGGGTTATGAGGATGAACCAGATGGAGGCAGAGGGACACATCCTGGGGGTAAAGGGCCAGGAGTTGATTAGGGAATGGTTAAAGGTGGGCCCAGCAAGCCCCCCACTTCTGCTCTTGAACCTATGAATGGCCCTAATCCTAACATGACAAGGATGGTTCATGAGCCCTACTGTGTGTACTGTAGGTGACAGGGACCTCTGCCCTAGACCCCCATCTGCTCCTCCCTGGACCTGTCTTTTCCCCTCACCTTTGCCATAGAAGTATTTCCGGTAGTAGCCAGCACCCAGGTCTGCATGCTCCAGGCTATAGGCTGTGCGGTTCTGTGGCTCCTCCAGGACAGACACAGCCGCATTGGGCAGCGCAGGGGGCACTGGTGGGGACACTGGTCCACCCAGGCCTAGCTCACCCTCACCCCCAAGCTCACTCACAAAGCCAGGTGCCCCAAGCAGCAGGTCTGAGCTGTCTGGCTGGTCCTCAGCTGATGATGGGGTTCCAGAGTTGACCTCTGAGTAACCCCCAGCTCCCCGTGGCCTTGGAGACCAATCAAAGAGCAGGCTCTGTACATCATAGTGGGCAAACCATCGGGGCTCAGGAACTGGTGGGAAGGCAGGCTCGGGCTCCTCAGCTGGCAGCCCCAGCAATGCCAGTGGGTCACTGAAGAGCCGGGTGGGGGCTGCAGCAGGGCGGCTGGCATCCTCGTGGCTGTGGGCACGGGCACGGGGGCTGGCTGGTGTGGGGGGCCGGGCCTCGCCTGCATCGCTGCCGCTGGGCCGGGGGGGGGCCCGGGCTGG